GTCTTCGACAAAAGTACGCGGCTTTCGCTAATGCGATTGTCAAACAAGACGAGAAGGTCGCCACCGCACTTTCCAACGTTAGTTTTTTTCAGCGGTAACACGCATGGAGCGTTTCGTGGAGCCAATTCGGACAGCCATATTTCCTCTCTTAGTGGGGTCCAACCATGTAAGGGGGCCGGACATCCGGGCCCCGGCCCCAGGCCCCCGGGCCCCCTGGGCCCCCAGTGGATTGTTGATCTTGGGCCCCGGCCCCCAGCCCCGGGCCCCCGGCCCCGCGGGCCCCCTGTGAATAAGCATGAAAACCCCTATAATGGGTACTGATTACTGGATTTTTTGGATCTTTAATTAACAAAATACCGATTTTTGACGATTTTATGGCTCTTGTGGTCAACAAATTCACGATATTGGCCGAACTGGCATCGACACGACATTGGCCCCGGCCCCAGCCCGGCCCCCACCCTTGGGTCCCGGCCCCGGCCCTGGCCCCCGACTGTCTCTAAAAGTGGGCCCCGGCCCCCTTACATGATTGGTGGGGTCGGTTTTAGAATGTTTCAGATGTCCGAAACTGCAGGTCAAGTGAAGATCGCTAAGTACTTGTAAATCGGGAATTCACTAGAGATCGACATTGACCACCCGTACCGTAGCCGTACCCGTAGCGACCCCTCCCGTACCGTAGCCGTACCGTAATGCATTTTACGGCCCGTAGCCGTAGTCAGAATGCAGTCAAAAATTCGCCAGTTCGTCCAAATTTACGTGTATTTTTTAGCAAAAGCAAGGGAACTATGTTCCCATGTGTAACAGCTAGCAAGCAGGTAGCATTTGCAGTCGATAACGTGTAAGTTTCGATTCAAGAATTCGAGCATTTCTGCCTTCTTTGGAGTCGGGCGGCACCTGGGGTTCCTCGCCAAAGGGTCCCCCCTTACCTTATTTTACGGGTTTCCTTAGGGCCCGTAACGGGGGGGGGGGGTCCCCCCCCGTACCGTAGCCGTACCCGTAACGACCCCTCCCGTATTGTAGCCGTACCCGTATTTTACGGCTACGGCTACGGGTACGGCCCGTAGTACGTAACGGGTGTCGATCTCTGGAATTCACGCATGATGTGTTCTCAATTTTTTTGTTGTTTTCGCTTATTTTCTGAAACTCGGAGCACCGCATAGCGCGACTAAATAAAGCATTAATGGCATAAAAGCCTTTTTTATCTCGCCACAAAGGGAACCTCGAGAACTAGAAGTTACGCGACAACGACACTCGTAGCGGTCCTTCGCGAATGTACGGACACACAGATTACTTTGACCGCGCGGGCTGTGAAGGCAACTTTTCAACTAGGAAAATCTCGGCTTCACAAGGACAAGAGTGATTAACTGTCCTGGCTATCGTCCACGTGCCCAAAGTCAAGCACTAGCATGAGCGGTCATGAACGTTACTCCAGGATTGGAGGCATAGAACCGCAAAAAAATGCAGCAAACGGTCGAATGCGCGGGGTTCCGTTGGAAAACTTTGGTCTTGATGGATGGGCCGATATTGAACCCGCGGTCGTCACTGATCTCTCCGCGACCGTCCTCTTTACAGTGTTTCGGCTGAAAAGACGAACTTGGGTTCAAGGCAACCAAAGCGAGGCCATAAATTTGCCAAAAATCGTTACGCGAACGCTTCCGAATCGCGCTGGGACATGCACTGGAAAAGTCAAAACATAACAAATTCGTTCAAAAAAGCACGTTGACTGACGCAAGCCGATTTTAATGCGAATTAACTTTGCGGTGCGTCACAGATCAAAACGAGTCCTTAATAGTGCAAAGAGTCTGGTTTTCGGCTACGACGATTCCTCCACGAAGTCATCATCTACGATGGCGGGTGCCGCTGGAACTGGAATGAACGCTGTGCCCGACGGAGCAGCCGGACCAAACCGAAAATCGTCAAACCGTCGCACGGAGCCCACAAGCCGTCAACCCCACCACCGCTCCACGTCAGCCGGGTCGACTCCGGACTGATGGCGACATTTCAAATCGCACTGTCTGCCCGGGCTAGCAACCCTGGCGGATGTAACAACCTTGCTCTCAACGAATCAACTGAGTGCCCCATCGTCGTGAAGCATGCTGGAAGTCGTGGCTCGGCGGCTGTGCGACCACGGCATGCGGAGGGCATAGACGACCAAACGACGAGTATCAAGGTGCCGCCGCCCCCGGACAGAAAAAACAACTCTACTAGACAGCGGATCGTACAGAGGAAGACGCACACCACGTTCGTCACTCTCAATTGCCAGTCTCTGAAGAGCCCCGCTCGAAAGAACCAGCTATCGCGTTTGCTGAACGACCTCAACGCGCACATGGCTTGCCTGCAGGAGACTCGGATCACGGACCCGGACAGCCAGGAGTTCACGTTCACCGTCCCGCCTCGAAACCGAACCAGCAACAGTCAGCCCTCCGGATACACCATCTACGCCGGAAGCGCCGACAATGGCTACGCTGGGTGCGCGGTTGCAGTACGGAACGACATGGCCGCACTTGTCCACAGCTGGGGATCACCATGCAGCCGAATCGCCTTCGTCCACTTCAAAAACGTTCAGAAGCCCACGTGGATCATCAGCGCATACGCTCCCACTAGAGACGCAGACGACGCCATAAAGGAAACATACTACGACGCTCTGAGGGACTTGCTGAACACAGTGCCACGATCTCACCTGATCGTCATCGGGACGGACGCAAATGCCCAGTTCGGCGCGGACGAGTCGAGTCCTGCCCTTGGCCGGTGGTACTACCCGGCCGAGGAAACAAATGACAACGGCGAACGTCTACTGATGCTGGCGGAAGAATACGACCTCTGTCTGGCCAACACGACTCGGCGAACCAGCAGGGGCCAGCGAGTTAGCTGGTGCAGTGGCGCCCGATTGACTGCAGAATCGAAGATCGCAAGGCGCAGCGGTCAGCTGATGAGCCTCATCGACTATGTGCTCATCTCTTCGCGCTGGGCCCCGATGGCTGAGAAGGCCGGATGTGTGCAACGCTCGGTGTTCCCGTCAGACCACCGGCCGGTGACAATGCGGATGAAGCTTCGTTACGTCGCCCCTAAGAACGCCCGATGCAAGCGGTACGACATGCAGCGACTTATTACCGACGCGGCCACTGAAGAGCGATACCAGCGAGAGGTACTGGACCGCCTATACCCGCCAGCAGAACGACGAGACGTCCTGGTCACAGCTGAGACCTTCACGGCAGCAGTTGTCGGAGCAAGAGATGAGCATGTGCCAGAGCTCAGATCCGAGAAGAGAAAGCCACTCATTTCGGCGGAGGCTGAGCGACTAGTAACACAATTGGCAGACTCGAGGCGCCGGAAAGACGAGCAGCAGTCTATTCGCCTGAAGAGAACCCTGCGGAGGCAACTAAAGCGCGACCGTGAACAACTGTGGCAGAGACGGACAGAAAAAATCGAGGATGCATGGCGATGTAACAACTCAAAGAAGGTGTACACCCTCCTGCGACGCTACAGCGGCAAACTGAAGGCGGCCTCGGACACGCTGGCCGTAGACGGGAGATGTGTCGCAGGCGATCGCTGCCTCGACGCCTGGAAGGACCATTTTTCGGCGCTCCTTAACCGCCCACCACCGGCCGGAGAACCGTTGGAAGTGGAGCGACTACCGCGGTACGAAGGCGTAGAAGAAAGCCCTCCTACCAGCGAAGAGGTGAAAACTGCCATAAAACAAATGCGCAGTGGGAAAGCGGCTGGAGAAGACGGCGTGCAACCCGAACTCTTGAAGGCACTTCCGGACATGGCAGTAGCAGCGCTTACCTCAGTCTACAAATCAATTTGGGACTACGAAACTATTCCGGACCAGTGGCGGACGGCCGTGGTGATACCGCTCCACAAGAAAGGATCCGTCACCAACCCAGCCAACTACCGAGGCATATCTTTGCTGGACCTGCAGTACAAGCTCCTGGAGCGGATCATCGCAAACCGTATCGTCCCAGCCCGAGACGCCCGCACACGAGACGAGCAAGCAGGTTTCCGTCCCGGTAGATCGACCATCGACCAGGTCTTCGTCTTTCGCAGAGTCATGGAAACCCACCACCGGTACAACAAGCCTGTCGAAGTCGCGTTTCTCGACTACGCATGCGCGTTCGACTCACCGGACCGTGAAAGAATCTATAAGCTGCTTGAAAGCGACGGCGTCCCGAATAAGCTCGTACGAATAATACGGGAGATGAACACAGGATCGGAGGCGGTGGTACGAACGCGCAGCGGGTGCAGCCAGCCGTTCCCCGTAGCTACGGGCGTGAAGCAAGGAAGCGTGCTCGGGCCGCTTCTGTTCAACTACGTCATTGACGCCATCATGCGAGTGTCGTCCGAGGATTTCAACGGCGGAGTGCAGCTGATACCGTCAGCGAAAGTGCTGACCGACCTCGACTACGCGGACGACATCGCCCTGCTGTCAACGTGCCGGGAAGAGCTTCAAACGTTCATCGACAGGGTTGCCCAAAATGCTGCACGCTTCGGCCTGAGACTGAAACCTGTCAAGTGCGAACTCCTCAGTGCATGTCCTGGTGAGGCGAACCCGATCACGGTTAACGGAGAGGCGATCAAGAAGGTCAAAAGTTTCTGCTACCTCGGCTCCATAATTACGGCAGACGGCAGCGTGAAGGAGGACATAGCGCAAAGAATCCGGAAGGCACGCACGGCGTTCACAACCCTCAGCCAGTGCCTCTGGCGCACAAACGTCTCGCATCGGATGAAGCTGAGAATCTACGCAACAGCCATACGCCCAATCCTGCTCTACGCCTCGGAAACATGGCCGCTGACGCAGTGCGAACAGGAACGCCTCAACCGAGCGGAGCGGTCATTCATCAGACAGGCTCTCGGGATCAGGCCGACCGATAAAGTCTCAAACCGGGAACTCTGGACGAAGGTAGACGCAGCCCTAGAACCAAGTGTACTCATCGACATCGGCGCAACAATCAGGAAGAACCGCCTTAAGATGCTGGGACACGTGCTCAGACGGGATGCCGACCGGCTGACAAGAGTCGCCCTCGAGTATACCGGAGGAACGACGTGGAAGCGACGCCCGGGTGGAACTAAGAACATGTGGACAGACGTGGTGCGCAAAGACCTCGAGTTCGCAAACATCAGAAGGCAACCACTGTTTCGCAGTACGGACGCTGTTACCGCCTGGAATCGCGGCGACTGGCTACGAGTCGTCACGATAATCGCAGAAGATCGCGCAACGTGGCATGAAATCGTTGAGAACAGTGCGGACGGGAAGCGACCGAGAGGACGCGCTCCAATGGACCCGTCTTAAGTAAGTCAAGTCTGGTTTTCCGGACCGGGCCAATGAAGGCTTGGAGCTTTGTTTGTTTCAGTACGAACTTTATAGCATCCATAATAAAACTTAAATCACAATAAAATTTAAAAAAATATTCGGTGTTATTCAATGCTAACAAATCTTTCGGTTAGGTTGTCCCTGACTCAGCATACGTCTTCGATAACTCGTAGCCGCCGCGCAGTTTGTCCTGCGCTTAAAGAATACCGCGCGAAATGCGTTTTTTAAAAAAAAGGGCGAAACACAAAGCGTGAAAACACCAACACTAAGTCAACATCGTACCACCGCAACAACAAGGAAGCATCCTCTCGAGAGAGGGCCACAAGCGTATCATTGCGTCACCATCGTTTCACTGATAACGGAAGCAGGCTTGCAGACTCGTAAAGGAAGTGCAGATTATTCCCGCCGTCGTCAGTAGTCGAAGCGTGGATTTCGCGAGTAAGACAGCGACGCAGCGCCTCTCGGCCCGATGACCCTCTCGACGTCGTCAGCTGCATAAGTCGCTCTCTACTTGGCCTTCGCTACAATCCACCTGCATAGCTGTCAGTAGAAAATTATCGCACCCCAAAGCTTTCAATGACCCAAAGATTTCATTGAAACGGGTTTTGGCCAGGCTAAACTGGTCCGAGGATCGAGTTCAGTCATTTTTACCGATGCGCTGGCTAGTTCATCTCAGTTCACTCTAGTTCGCTAAACTTTGTATGATAGCGGAATTGTCAGCTCTCGGCCAGTTTTGAGCCGCTTTCGATGGAAAAAGCTCAAAAAACAGCCCTCCGCAGACGTTTTCAGCTCAAATATCTTGATTTCTAGCAAAATTATTGGCTATTACAGGGGAAGTTCAGTTTCAATCCTCTCCACTAGATAGGGCTGACCGATTCAGTCAAACTGTGACCCACCTCCTTCCCGAGGGCTCGCAGAAGTACGGCATCGTCTCAAAGACTTTAAGCTGCATGGCGTGCCATTTACTTCGCATAATCGACTTATATTGTTGCTAAAACAATGATACAGAAGAAGAATGTTATGGTTAAAATAGCGTATCGGGACGGTTTTGCACGTGTTCGCGGACCTGCGGAAGCGATAGTACGGCGTGCATGTGGTGGCCGATACGAGGGAATCGGTCGAGAATTTCGGGACGTCCGAACGTGACGATATAGTCCGCGAAGCACGCCAAGTAGAAGTCGATCCAGGTCAGCTAAAATAGGTCCACCTTTACCCATCGTAGACGATTGCACGGTCTAATGACGGTCGTTACTCTTAGTTTCGGTCACTGTCTTTTCGGCCACGGGCTTTGAGCGCTAAACTGTGTTATTCTACCTCCGCACATGCTTACGCTTAGGGCTTAGGCGTAGGCTAGACCTGGTTGATACCCTATCTGTACCGAACTCCGTTCCGTACTGCCCACTCCTGCCGTACACTGTCGTATTGAACCTCCCCGCACAGAAACCGGTTCCGTATAGCAGGGCATGGACAACGGAACGGCGCAAAACGGCTGTTTTCCGCGCCGTTCTCCACTTTAGGTAGAAGTTAGCCGGGCCCTTTAGGGCAGGGAAGGGTGTCAATTCTCGAGCTGTTACGTACTAGTACCGATCGGGACGCAGCCTGTTTTATTCCTTTGCCGTTCTATTTTCCGTTCCGTAAAAAGGAAAATGGTACGGAACGGAGCACGGTTCGTTACGACCCGCACAGTCTAGCGTCGGCGTATGCCACGACCGAGTCTACTAGGCGCCAGAACGATCTCCATGGTGGCTGAGCTACGAATAAAATTTAAAAAAATCATGCTGGGGTAATTTACATACATACATATCCGCAATGGGCTATTATTAGCTGCGCATTAGGCAGACCAAGCAGGTGAAGTCCACCGAAAAAAGCATAGCTTCGGCTAGCGGTTTCCGTCGGCAACAGGGCTGTGGCGGTACATTTCGAACTTCGAATTCGATTTCAATTTTTGCTTACATCAGTCCCCGAGCCTACGGGAAACATGCACCTATCGGCCATTCGCAGAAGATCTTACCGAGTCACCGACGAGGTAGCCGGTTCCACTGTGCTCAAGCTGCTTCTCGAACACGGGTCCAAAATCCTGGTAGATGCATGGAATGAAGACTTTCTCGAGGAGGTGCTGCCACTGAAAAGTTCGACGTGAACTCGTTCTTTCACGGTTCAATGCATGTGGCATGTCGTCGGTAGCCCTGTCAAAATACGAATCTCCGGAATCCCGGCATCGCCCTCGTAATTCACGCCCCTCCTGATATTGGGAGCTTCAAAGAACGAATATACAACAGATAGGAAGCGATATCGGCAATGGGGAACAAGGTACGGGGGATAGTCCGGATGCTGAAGACTTCCAGGGTAGGTTGAGCCTCAAGCCAAAAATAGCGCATCATTGCAACGTGCTTACCTTTTCCTTCGGAACGAGGCCGAGAAGGCAGTCGACAAAAGGCTTAATTTGCAGGAAATACTCCTGTAACCGCTGGGCGAGCGTCTCGCAGATCGCCTCTTCCTCTTCGGTCTGCGGAACGAGGCCTAAACGTTCGTGTCTAGTGCTTCAAAGCATTAAGGGTTGCCGTAAGTAGCGGATACAAAGAACATTACGGGTGCCGTGTGCATGAGTATGCCGTGCGTCCGGGCCGTGGTACCTCCCTCCCGTACCCTGAAGACGGGCCGTGATCACGACTCCACGGCACGCCCGTGGTACAACACGCAAAACTTTAAGAAGTGGGCTAATTATACGCTCCGCCGGCACGGCCGGCGTCCGTGTGTGACGTATGTCATGCGGGATAACGTCTGTCACTCAAGCTTGAAATGCGATACGTCCGCTTTTACAAGTCGGCTGCACTTTAAACGGCTGTTTCCAGATAACTAGAGCAGGGATCGCAAAAGTTGTCAACAACTTTTTACCGAGAAACCCCGAAATTGTTTGGTCAGTCAAGCGGCAAACGGCAGTGACTTACCATACTTCTTGCCCAGATACGCGAGGATGACGTTCGTATAACTGATTTCAATCTTGCCACCGTCGATCAGCAGTTTCGGAAGCTTGGGCACAGGCGCTTCTGAATCATGCTAGTAACTATGCATCGCAAAGAGTACGGAAGAAACATGCCTAGACTGGGAATAGAGGCCGAAAATTATTTAAGAACGTTTGCGGATAAATTACCATAATACAAATGGAGAACGTTAAGAAAGTGGGAGAAAAAATTATCTGTGAAACTGGTGACAAAGTGTTGCCTTAAAATTGTAAGGAACTCGAGAACTCCGGTTCCGGGCCGCCTGAACCGGACTGCCTCTTTGAGCTGTCTTGGCAAACTTTAGAACTTGCTGAGACAAGTTAATGAGCGAGATTATTTGGACATGGCTTGCTTTTGTTCAAAAAGTCGTAGAGTTGGTTCCACGCTTTAGTCCCAAGCTAATTCAGTTCTCTGAAGTCCCTAAGCCGAGTCCATCGCCAAATATTTCCAGGAAGATTCAAGATCCTAGTAAAGAAGAACTTACTGTCCTTGTACTTGGCGAACTCCAGGTAGTTCTCTCGATAGTCCTCAAACGGCTCTCCGACGTAGTGCAGCAGGAGTCGAATAGGTTCCGCCTTACCTCGCAGGTTGAGGTATCGGACTTGGTAGCGGGGCGCCATTCTGTGAGGAAAGGCAATGTGAATTAGTCAATGTTTAGCCCACGGAAAAGCGCAACGAAAGCCCGAATAAAAAAGAATGGAACACACATATTGAGCTACAAACTGCTTCATGCTTTCGTGGCCTTAAGCAAGCGGTTCTCCGACGACACTAGTAGGGAACACGAAGAGAGTAAAAGTCGGCCGCAATACGCAAACTCAGACAGCACCGCCTAGTTCCGCGTCTGCATTTAGAGAACGCCGCCCGACGAAACGAACCGCGATAATCGAGCATGAACCAAACTAAAGACTCGTGGTCACACAAAGAGTTTAGCCCTATGGGCAAAGCGGCGAAGCATCTGGACTGAGAGAGCCTTGATGGTTTTTTCGTGCATTGTATAAAAACACTGGGGGGGGGGGCAAAGCGCATACAAATGTGGTCATAGACGCCTCATCCCAAGTTCTCATGTTCTAGTGAGGATCCTTCAATCTGCATATCGCGTGTGGTGTCTTCTTGATACGTCCTTACGACCAAATACGAACGTAAATAGTAAAGACCACCTACAAGAAGCAGCTAGTGAAAAATACCCGGCAGAAACCAGACCCGCAAGTTTGTATACCTACCTAGTAACACAATATTTTAGTCTTCGCAGCGTGTTTAAGCGTTGCACTTGCGTGCCTTCCTATGCCTCAGCTTAACCGACAAAACTCCGAAAAAATATTTCGGTAGTGAAACAAGTTGTAACTGAAGTGCAGGGAACTGACATAAGAAGGGACTGAAATGCCTGATATCTGGAAAATATCTTTGAGAGGGAAGGACCTTACCTGAAGGCGTCTAACTAAACGAGACTGGCTTCGCGAGAACGAGCTTAGCTCACACAAAGGCGATCATATACTTCATAAACCGTGAATTATGAGTGGCCGCTAAAACACCTTTCAACAAGAAGCCCTTCTCGATCTCACGTAACGATCTCGCCGAAAAATGTGGAAGTAATGAACCGAGAGGATTGATGTGCGGAACAATCGACCCGCTGGAAGCGGCCTCGAAACGAGGAAGAACAAGGGCGCCCACGAAAAGCCACTTGGCCCCTTCGACGGCCGAATCATTACGTGGGGGTACTCTTGCCGGCCGGTGACTCGGCAGGTGATCGATGTCCGCGAAACAACTGCCACCGCCAAGCGAGGTCGGCACGTCAGCGGTCGGCTAACGAATGGATTGCTTATGAGGAAGAACATGCGCCAAAATTAGTCTCTTGCGCAAAAATACCTATCTGGTTGCGACGTCCTGGCCACGACTACCAGCAGCGGACGCATTCGTTCTTTAGGCCGACAAAACAGTGATGGCCCTGCGCCCGGCACGAACGAATCCTTTTTCGGCAGC